GAGAATCCTGGAAGCAGAGATGGGTCAGGGAGTGGGAGCCCTCATCCTTTGAATGTGACAACCGAGAGGTTACTGTGAATGAGGCCAGAGATATTAGGAGGCATGGACAGAGGGGAGATGAGAGAGGAGGGGTAGGTGGACAGAAGACCAGGGATACCCAGAATTCTGGATAAGACCAGTGAAATTTTTAGAAATCAAACAGAACAACAATTAAAAACCAAAAAAAGATTGCTCACTTTGTAATTCACCAAGTAAGGGTAATTTGGTACAATTATCATGTTTTAATACCACTGTTTTATAAAAGAAGGGATATTTTAAATCTCCCAGAATGGTCATTTACATGACACAAATTTATATTGTTATCACTCGTGTGTGTGTGTGTGCAGTCACTCAGTCACGTCTGACTCTGCGACCCTATGGACTGTATGTAGCCCCTCCAGACTCCCCTGTTCATGGTATTTCCCAGACAAGAATACTACAGTGGGTTGTCATTTCTTCCTCCAGGGGATCTTCCCGATCCAGGGATCAAATTCACATCCCTTTCATCTTCTGCATTGGAGGGCAGATTCTTTACACTGTGTCACCTGGACACACCCTTACTGTTCCCATTTTCTCAGGGATTATAAAATTTCAGTTAGATGAATGATGCTGGTTTGCTGAGTGTGAACTGACATGTAAATCCTTTTTTCCCCAAAGAGGGAAGGGAAGAGATTGAATAAGAATAGAGCCAAGAGGACCTCCCATGTGGTCTAGTGGTTGGTGACTGAGACTCTGCATCCACTTTGTGCATGCTAAGTTGCTTCTGTCGTGTCCGATTCTTTGCAACTCTAAGGACTATAGAACACCAGGCTTCTCTGTCCATGGGATTCTCCAGGCAAGAATACTGGAGTGGGTTGACATTTCCTACTCCAGGGGATCTTACCAACCCAGGGATCAAGGCATAAATTCAATCCATGGTTGGGGAAGTTCCATATACTGTGCAGTGTTGGAGGCCAAAAATTTTTTTAATAAGAATATAGTCAAGAGTTTTCATTTTATGAAGAATGAGACTGATTTGAGAAAAGTCAATATACTGAGAGGAAAAAACAACTGAAAGATTTAGAAATAAGAACTAAATGTAACATAGGATCCCAGATTGGATTGTGGAACACTGAAAGGACGTTGGTGGAAAAAGTGATGAAATACAAATTAAGTTTGCGGTTTCGTTAATAATATTGTAGCAATACTAACTGCTGAGTTTTGATAAACGTCCAGGTTAGGGGAAGCTGGGTGAAGGGCATATTCAAACCTTTTGCATTATCTTTACGACACCTTTATAAATCTAAATTTTTATAAATAAGAAGCAAAAATACATGTAACAACAAGTACACAGAAGAAAAAGGGCTTCCCTGGCGGCTCAGTAGTCAAGAATCTGCCTGCTGATGCAGGAGACACAGGTTCCATCCCTGATTTGGGAAGATCCTACATGCCGCAGAGCAGCTCAGCCCGTGGGCACAACTATTGAGCCCGTGACCTAGAGTCTGGGAGCCACAACTACTGAGCCCACACTCCGCAACTACTGAGCCCACACTCCGCAACTACTGAAACCCACACTCCACAACTACTGAAGCCCACACTCCACAACTACTGAGCCCACACTCCGCAACTACTGAGCCCACACTCCGCAACTACTGAGCCCACACTCCACAACTACTGAAGCCCACACTCCACAACTACTGAGCCCACACTCCACAACTACTGAAGCCCACACTCCGCAACTACTGAGCCCACACTCCGCAACTACTGAGCCCACACTCCGCAACTACTGAGCCCACACTCCGCAACTACTGAGCCCACACTCCTCAAATACTGAAGCCCACACTCCGCAACTACTGAGCCCACACTCCACAACTACTGAAGCCCACACTCCATAACTACTGAGCCCACACTCCGCAACTACTGAGCCCACATTCCGCAACTACTGAGCCCACACTCCGCAGCTACTGAGCCCACACTCCGCAACTACTGAGCCCACACTCCGCAGCTACTGAGCCCACACTCCGCAGCTACTGAGCCCACACTCCGCAACTACTGAAGCCCGTGCACCCTAGAGCCCTCACTCCGCAATGAGAAGCCCTCCCGGCTTAACTTGAGCATAGCCCCCGCTCACTGCAGCTAGAGAAAAAAGTCCGAGTGCAGCAATGAAGACCCAGCACAGTCAAAAGAAATAATTTTTTTTTTTTTAAGTAAAAGCAGATAAGTGACAACCTGAAACCCCTCCAGCTAGACGTTGGCACCAGGTGGCAGGTGGCAGTGACCTGGAACAGGAAGGAGACCTTCCTCCCTAGGACCACAGGAAAGGGTGGGACAGGGACATGAATAATTTGCCAGTAAATTTGCCCCCAGTTCAGGATGATGAGCTCCTCGGGGTCAGGGACCAACGGATGCACGTGGCTACCCACAATGTATAGAAGGATTTTTCGTGTGTTGCCAGTGCTCAGTAAATGTTCATTGATAATAAATCAATTCCATGACTTAAAAAAAAAATGCCCCCAAAAGTTTGAAATAGAAGACTTCTTAATAAAATAATGTAATAACTGATGGGACAAAACAAAAATGAAAGTGGTTTATAAATGAAGAGGGAAATAGGCAAATGACCACAATATTCAGACTGACGACAGAAATGAAAGGTTAATATTACACAGAAAGAAAAAAAAGCAGCAGCCTTGGATCATGTTCCATCTTGGAATAATTCTGCTCCTCAAGGATTCTGAGGGCTGAAATCAGCAACCTAGAAAAGCCTTACTTTAGAGCTCTGGGTAAATTATGGAGGCTATTATCAAGATTGCACTAAAATAATGGCAGGACATTGAGAGGGAGAGGACTAGCAAGTGGAAATGAGCAAAGCCCGGAGGAAAGACAGCTGCTTCACATAAGGAATCGAGTCCACAAGCCACTGCAGCTGCTGTTGATTTTCTATCAAATCCTTCCACCGACTCTCAGGACAGACCCAGGCCCCGGCAGAAGCTTTTCGCACATTCCCACTCCTATATTTTATTCACTTAAAACTCTCCTTCAGTGGTGATCATCTTCTGATATGTAGAAACAGCAAGTCACCACGCTATGCACCTGGAGCTAACAGAGCATTGTAGGTCAATTACATATCAATTAAAAAACAAACAACCAAACAGCAAACAAACAAGCATCCTCCTTCCTTTAAAATATGAATAATCAGTTTCCTAGCAGCAACAAGTACAAAACTCTTAAATTTAATACCTTTTTTTAAGTGGAAAAAAATATACAGTATGATGATCATTCATAATACTTGTTTCTGGTCCTCAATTTTATGGTGTGGGGGAAATCAAGTATATATGTTTTTGTACTAAAAAGGGGTATATTAAGTAATACATACTGTATAACTTAAAAATTAATATATAAAAATGAGGAAACTTTATTGTATAACTATGGAAAAAATGTTGACTTTTTAGATAATAAGATTATGATTTGAATCACCTTGGGAGATATTGCACACTCTCTTGTGAATGGACATTGCCTTGGTACATTACAGCTAAATACTGAGTTAGGGTTCTTCAGTTGCAAACAACAGACTCCAACTCTGATTAACTTAAACCGATGATGATGATGATGATGATGATGATGAAAGTTGCTCAGTTGTGTCCGACTCTTTGCGACTCCATGGACTCTATAGTCCATGGAATTTTCCAGGCCAGAATACTGGAGTGGGTAGCCTTTCCCTTCTCCAGGGGATCTTTCCAACCCAGGGGTTGGACTCAGGTCTCCCGCTTTGCGGACAGATTCTTTACGAGCTGAGCCACAAGGGAAGCCCAAGAATACTGGAGCTGGTAGCCTATCCCTTCTCCAGAGGATCTTCCTGACCCAGGAATCGAACCGGGGTCTGCTGCATTGCAGGCGGATTCTTTACAAACTGAGCTATGAGGAAAGTCCAACTTAAGCCCCAAAGCATACTAAATTGTTTCAGTCATGTCTGACTCTTTGTGGCCCCATGTACTGTTGTCTGCCAGGCTCCTCTGTCCATGGGATTCTCCAGGCAAGAATACTGGAGGTGGGTTTCCATGCCTTCCTCCAGGGGATCTTCCCAACTCAGGAAGTGAAACTACATCTCCTGTGGCTCCTGCATTACAGGCAGATTCTTTACCACTGAGCCACCAGGGAAGCCCCATAATGGAATGATAGTATGCGTGTGTTAAGTACACAGCAGCAGTCTAGAATGAATGGCTGAAAGGGCAGGAACCAGGGTCTAGGGAGAGGAACAAATAATAGTTGCATCAAGGTCCTAATGTTGGCTGCAATCACCACTGTGTTTTTCCATTCCTGTGTCCTTCTGCTGAGAATCCAGAGTTAGTAAGAGAGCTTTGATGAGCTTGGGGCATGAGGCAAAAAACAGGGCACTACAATGAACAGTGCCTGAGAATCACCCATAGTGGGAGGACAGGTAATTCAGAAAAGGGCTCTTACTGGAAGAAATGGAAGTGGATGGAGAGTAATGACTACTTGCCTTCTTCTCTTATGCCACCATGCCTCTGCCTAGTTCCTGCCTGGACTTGAAATGCCCCTCTGAGCTGGAATGTCTCTAGCTGGCCAGACCACATGACAAACTCCTATTTTCCCCTCAAAACCCAGATAAAGTCACCAATTTCTGTGAAACCAGGCAGAGGAAATCACTTTGTACTCTTCAGGCCTTTTCACACTTCACTTTGTTGAATTGCTAACACTACATTGTAATGATTTGTACTTGTATGGCTCTCTATGAGACTGTAAGTTTCTCAAGTGCAAGAATAATGTCCTTTCAACTCTGCTGCTTCCGTGCCTAGAACAGGATCTGTCATAAAAAGAGAATTCAACAAATGCTAAATGCTTGCTGAAATAAAAGTAAATAACAAATCACTTCTATATTTAACAATAAGAAAACCTGAAACAAAATTAGACAGTTTTGAGGAAGCACAAGGACAATTCTGCAGAGACACAAAATAATTTGTTACCTTTGCAAATCTGCGTGATGTTTGAGAAAGCCTGGCAATGTCTTCAAGATCCAGATAAGAAATGACATTCAGCAGCAAACTGTCTGAGAGCCGTTCAAGGAAGTCAAATTTACCTTCACATAAATTGAAGACATAGTCTAATATTCTTGAACCAAATATTAAGGCAATTTGAACTGCAATTCAAAAAAAGCCAACAAAACAACATGGTTATCATGTGCAGTCACATAAAAACTATGACTGTTATCAGTAAGACAAGCTTTGGGGCATTTTTCCCCTGAGAGTGACGTTAGATTTGCTGAGTCATTCCTGCTTTCATCAAGCTGTCTCTGGGACCAGTGGTATGTATTTACGAGGTATTTGTTTCCAACAGCTGCCTCTGACCTGAGATCAAAATCTTTTAGGTATACTCAGTGTTGAGCACAGTGATGGACTGAACCAAATTCCAGTCCAAACAACTGACTTAACTAGTCTTCATGTCATCCCCATCTTCATCCTCCCAATTGCCGAGACTAGGTAGAATGCTAGTGCACATCATTTTTTTCTACCCCTCTGCCCCCAAATTGGTGTGAAACACTTTAATAGCCCTTAATTTTGATCGATTTTTGTTCCCTTCTTGTTATACATTGTTTCTCTACCAAACTTCCTTCTTCACCTTCTTTCATTCCCATGAAATTGTGAATTATGAGTGGTTAAATCCAGGGGGTGATTTTTTTTTTCCTTCCTTTTGCTTATCTGTATTTTGCAATCTTTTTTTATCATAAACTCTGTTTTACCAATGTAATTTTTTTCATAATCTAGAATGAATGGACGGGAGGAAGAAAGAAGGGAAGAAGGCTACCACCCTTTTATGAGAAAGAAAAATGGGGTTACAACAGAGGATTTTATGCATGTGGATCACAGTGGTTCCAGCGCTGGGGACTTTGTTTCTTGAAGCTCATTTTTCACTTCTGCCTCCAAAAGCACCACTATGTCTGGCCTTTCTAGAGAACTTCTCTCAGAACAGACAGAATGGATTCTCTACAGGGGACTAAGTGTCCAAGATTTGGGGACACTTCCTTCCCAACATGGAACATTCCTTCCAGAGCAAGTGGGATGAAGCTGTCAAGAATACCAGGCTCCTTGTATAAGCAGGCAGACCAGTGATCCTAGAGGTTGATGGCTCTCCAATTTCAAAATGGATGTAAGGTGAGGGCTGTGTTTATGTAAAAGTTCTGATTGTGCTAACCTGGAAGAGCCAGCCATATAAGATTTCTCTCCAAAACTGGTCAGTCCAGCTTTCTAGAGGCATTAAGGGTTTTAGTTGCTTCTAAACTACAAGTGGTTCTAATTCAAAGTCCTTCTAAAGTTCAAAGTTTTTCTTGGGAGGAAATTAACCCCTCAAAAACTCATCCTCACAGGGTACTATTGTGAAGAACCCCTGGCCCACCAGCAGAATAAGGAAAAAGAGGTGCTTACTTATTGGAAAAACAAAACCTTTAGTGTAATAAATTTTCTTAAAATAACTGGAGATATTTGAACATTTTAAAATGCCAGGAAAGCATGCTCAAAGTACGTGTCCAGATGTACTTTAGAAAGTCTCTACCAGTACTTCCCTGGTTGTCCAGTGGTTAGGAATCCTCCCTCCAATGCAGGGTCTGTGGGTCCAATCCCTGGTCAGGGAACTAAGATCCCACCCACGTGCTGTGGGGCAACTAGGCCCACAAGCCTCAACTAGAGAGAAGAATTCACACTGCAACGAAGATCCTGTGTGCCTCCACTAAGACCCAACACAGTCAAAATAATAAATAAGCACTTTTAAAAAAGAGATAGTCTCTACCAATAAGGCCTTTTAAGTTAAAGTTATAAAAGTTATAAGATATAAAGTTATAAAAGTTAAAAGTTAAGATAAAATTGTAAAAGGACATATAGCCCCTAAGTATGTAATGGGGTAGTTTCAAATTATACAGGTATGGGCATACTCAGAAAAAAATTTTTTGTATGTTTGTGTTTTTTTTTTTTTAAATAGCCAACAGTTCACCAACCTTAACTTCTTTTAAAATAAGGAAAACGAGGTTAGAACAAAGCCCATTTTGAAGAGTAAAGTCCGCGCCTTCGTGTTGGATTGTGTGACAGCGAGCCTTCCAGAGAGACCCTGCGTCTCTCCTCCCGGACTCACGCTCCTGTGTGTTCCCAGCCCATGGTGAATGAGGGCTGGCCTAGGTAACTGAGAGGAATTGCAAAAATATCCCAAGGCTGGGTCACCGAAGACACTGGGGCTTCTGTCTTGCTGTCCCGGATCACTCACTCTCGGAGAAGTCAAGGGCCATGACCTGATACTACTCCACAGCACTGTGGAGAGGTCTGTGGGGAAGGAAACTGAAAGAGCCGTGTGTGTGTCCCCATGTGAGCCATGGTGGAACTGGATCCTCCAGCACCAACCAAGCCTTCTGATGACTGGGGTTCAGACAACATCATGCAAGATCCTGGAGCAGAATGGCTAAGCTATGCTGCTCCCAAATTCCTGACCCTGCCCTCTGAGTTAATAAACGTTTATTATTTTTTAGGGCTTCCCAGGTGGTGCAGTGGTAAAGAATCCAGTTGCCAATGCAGGAGACACAAAAGGAGAGGGTTTGATCCCTGGGTGAGGAAGATCCCCTGGAGAAGGAAATGGCAACCCACTCCTGTATTCTTGCCTGGGAAATCCCACGGATGGAGGAGCCTGGTGGGCTACCATCCATGGGGTCATAAAGAGTCAACACAACTGAGCACACACACACACACACACACACACACACACACACACACAACATACACATTGTTTTAAGCCGTTGGGTTTGGGAGTAATTTATTACACAACCATAGACAATAAAGATTTAGGTGCCTGCAACTGTTGTGGAAACCTAGAATGTGGAAATGGCTTTGAAACTGAAAAGTAGCAAAACTTTGAATGAGCTTGAGGAAAGTATGCTGTGAAAGTGCTGCACTCAATATGCCAGCAAATTTGGAAAACTCAGCAGTGGCCACAGGACTGGAAAAGGTCAGTTTTCATTCCAATCCCAAAGAAAGGCAATGCCAAAGAATGCTCAAACTACCGCACAATTGCACTCATCTCACACGCTAGTAAAGTAATAGTTAAAATTCTCCAAGCCAGGCTTCAGCAATACATGAACCGTGAGCTTCCAGATGTTCAAGCTGGTTTTAAAAAAGGCAGAGGAACCAGAGATCAAATTGCCAACATCCGCTGGATCATCAAAAAAGCAAGAGAGTTCCAGAAAAACATCTACTTCTGCTTTATTGACTATGCCAAAGCCTTTGACTGTGTGGATCACAATAAACTGGAAAATTCTGAAAGATACGGGAATACCAGACCACCTGACCTGCCTCTTGAGAAACCTGTATGCAGGTCAAGAAGCAACAGTTAGAACTGGACATGGAACAAATCAGGAAAGGAGTATGTCAAGGGTGTATATTGTCACCCTGCTTATTTAACTTATATGCAGAGTACATCATGTGAAATGCTGGGCTGGATGAAGCACAAGCTGAATCAAGATTGCTGGGAGAAATATCAATAACCTCATATATGCAGATGACACCACCCTTATGGCAGAAAGTGAAGAAGAACTAAACATCCTCTTAATGAAAGTAAAAGAGGAGAGTGAAAAGGATGGCTCAAAGCTCAACATTCAGAAAACTAAGATCATGGCATCCGGTCCCATCACTTCATGGCAAATAGATGGGGAAACAGTGAAAACAGTGGCTGACTTAATTTTGGGGGGGCTCCAAAATCACTGCAGATAGTGACTACAGCCATGCAATTAAAAGATGGTTGCTCCTTGGAAGAAAAGCTTTGACCAACCTAGACAGTATTTTAAAAAGCAGAGACATTACTTTGCCAACAAAGGTCTGACTAGTCAAAGTTATGATTTTTCCAGTAGTCATGTATGGATGTGAGAGTTGGACTATAAAGAAAGCTGAGCACTGAAAAATTGATGCTTTTGAACTGTGGTCTTGGAGAAGACTCTTGAGAGTCCCTTGGACTGCAAGGAAATCCAACCAGTCCATCCTAAAGGAGATCAGTCATGAGTGTTCACTGGAAGGATTGAGGTTGAAGCTGAAACTCCAGTACTCTGGCCACCTGATGCTAAGAGCTGACTCATTTGAAAAGACCCTGAAGCTTGGAAACATTGAGGGCAGGAGGAGAAGGAGATGAAAGAGGATGAGATAGTTGGATGGCATCCCTGACTCAATGGATGTGAATTTGGGTAAACTCCAGGAGTTGGTGATGGACTGAACTGAACTGAACTGAACTGAGGAGAGAGTTAGTTAAAGTCTGAAAAGCCTTCAATAAATATTATACTGCGCTCAGTTACTCAGTCGTGTCTGACTCTTTGCAACCCCATGGGCTGTAGCCTGCCAGGCTCCCCTGTCCATGGGGATTCTCCAAGCAAGAATACTGGAATGAGTTACCATGCCCTCCTCCAGGGGATCTTCCCAACTGAGGGATCAAACCTAGGTCTCCCACATAGCAGGCGGATTCTTTACTGTCTAAGCCACCAGGGAAGCCCAAATATTACACTAAGTAAATAGAAGCCTGACAGACTCTGAAGAGGCTTTACAGGGTAGGTTTAAAGAAAAGTGAGGAAAATATTATGTAAAAAAAAAAAATGGAGAAAAGGGAGGAAAAATCTGGAGGAAAGGGAATCCTTGCTATGTGGTAGCAGAAAGTTTTGCAAACTTCTGAATGTACACTGTTTTACAATTTTGACTTTGAAAGCACATGCATGTTTTCTATAGTCAAAACTCAAAACAGAATTTCTTAAACTTTTTTTAAAGATTCTATTCTTAACTATAAAAAATTGTAAGGTGATTGGGAAGAGTTTGAGCAAAAGATACGTAAGACCATAATGTAGAAAATAAATGGAGAGAAATACCATGCTCATGTTGGGAAGACCAAAGGATCACAGTTCTGTCAAAAACCTAGAAAGTTAATCCAAATCCAATTAGAATTTCAGCAGGGAGCTCTGCACAGATTTACCAGCTGGTCTTAAAGCTCAGAGGCAGAATAAAAAGTCAAGAACAGCCCACATAAAGAATAGAATGACGGGCTTCCCTGGTGGCTCAGTGGTAAAAGATCTGCCTACCGATGCAGGAGACATCAGTTTGATCCCTGGTCCAGGAAGATCCAGGAAGCCCA